ATTCATTCATATATATATATATATATATATATATATATATATATATATGTTTCAAGTAAAATTAATTGGGTGAATGTGAATATGGTTTGAACCAACAAGAGTTATGATAAACTATCATTAATTTTTTCTCCTGTGATTTCAGGAGGAAAAAAAAACTATGTACAAATCCAACATACATGCATTTATAAATTAGCTTTTGATTTTGATTTGCAACAGGTATGTGTGTGTGACCGGGGGGCTTCTTCTGTCTCTGGATACATCAGTCATGTTAGCAGCAAAAATGTATGCAGTTACTTCATACATCACCATAGTCTGCCCCCTCTCTTGGGTAACATAGATATATCTGTGTCAAAATTAGGGAGAACATAAAAGTGATGAAGCAGGAGATGAGCTTTAGATTTAAAAAAATTTAAATTGCTAAGCAAATCTCTATTCTGAAAAATTACCAGATTTGTGAAAATAACCAATAAAGGTGGGGTTTTTATTTTTCTTTTATCAAAATCAATTGTTGCCGATACCTTTTGCAGGTATACCAACCTAAACTTCAAAACAACAATTATTAGGTCTGTATAACATCCCATTTACCATTTTAAGCCCTACAAATGTAGTTACACACTTGTCTAAGAGCGATTTTACTCTTAAATGCTTTAACTCTACCTATGTAATGAGTTGGTTGTTCAGTGTTGAAATGGTCAATGTCTGTGCTTGGTGGCTTGTGTTCATTTTTCTTGATGTGCAAGTGGTCAGCTCTAGAGTAATTTGCTGTATGCTTATTACTTTCCACCTTTAGCGTTTTGTGTACTAATGCTATGTATTCCTATATTTATATATACATATATTATCAGAATAATCTTGCTTTGGACTGTTGCTCTCCAACTACGACTATGATGCAGAGATGACTACAGCTGCAAAGAATGTGGCGGAATCAGTTCCCACGGTGTAGGTTAGTCTTGGGCTGGAAGTCTACATCTTTCAACCTCCTCTGTTTCATATGATGCTTTTTATTATGTGGGCACTGCCATCCTGAATATTCATTGTAATGATGCAGTCAATTTCAAAGGAAGACAAAGCCACTGCTGTCTGTAAACTGTAAATATGTATTTTGGCACTTGTACTCCAGTATTCTGAAAACAGAGTTATGATGGAAATGCTGACAGATCTTTGATGGTGGCCAGCGCTACCCTGCAGTGCAAAAATAAATTAAGTAAAAATGTATTCTGAGATTAGCAGTGCAAGGCCAACATGTTTTACAAATCTGTCAGTATCTTTCTAATGGAGTGTGTATGTGTAGTTATGTTGAAAGATACACTGTGTATGTGTGTACATGCTTTTATGTGAACTACAAGGCACACAAAAGATGTATTTCCCATCTCTAAATCCCATGTTGAAATGTTAAGTGCAGATGGACAGAAATAGGTGTTTTACTTAAATTCATACATAATCTATTGTGACTCCTTTTTTTGTTTTTTTTTTTTTTACAATGTATATTCTTACAGATTCATTTGCTCAGTCTAACATCACATAAGGGATAATAAGCCCTTAGTCTTTCCTTATAAAAAAAAAATGATGTGTTTCTAAAGAAAAATGGAGAGATTGGAGACTCCCAGAGAATGGACCATGGGCCCCAAAACACCTGAGTACAGAGGCCATCCTCATTTATCTTTGGGTACCCAATTCTTAGCTCCATTTCCTGTGTCCTGAAACCACTACCTAGTTTAGTCTCTTTAAAGACTTATCAAGAAACAGCAGGCACAGTCTTATAATTAAACTGAATTATTTATACATAGGTTTTTTTTTTTTTCCTTTTCCACTATCCCTTTGGAAGGTCATTTTTTTGTAAACTAGCTATGCTATAGCTAGACAAAGTCAGTTCACAAATTCTAGCATTTACTTACCATGGAAAATGCTACTCTGGTTAGGCCGGAGGGACAAAAGTCTATAATGCATTGCTTGACAACTAAACAAGGAATTGGATGTGATATTCTCCTTAGAAGCAAAGAGATTCATATTAAATTTTAGAAGCTGACCTCTTCTTCATTCAGACTGGCAGGCTATTTAGAGGATTACTATGGACTGCCTTGGCTCTTATCAACTGGAAACAGTCATAGGTGTGGAAGCCTCAGTCCCAGCTGGGCTGACATGAGAGGAAAACTCAATTGACCACTCCTACACTGCACTAGCTTCTGTCCTTCCAGCATAGATAGGCTTTTGTCTATTGGAAGTAATGGCTTTGCATCTTTTCCAGTGTGGAGAAAGAGCATCGGGGAGCTGCTGGGCATTGCTCTGGAACTGTCCCAAAGTCCTACTGGGAATGTGCTATACCACAGTGTCTCAGTGTGCCTGTTTGCTTGTCCCAGAGCAGTACTCCATTTGGGCAGGCAGGATACCCGGAGGAGACTGGAAGATCAAGGCCCAATGCTCATAACTCTGTGGTTATGAGACACACTGTCCAAAACTAGTGTCCTTTGTTTTCCTTATTAAGAGCAAAGTAGTTAAAGGTGGTTTATTGGTTTTCTTGGCAGGGTACCACCCAAAGAGGAAATGCTGAGCACATTTCAGTGCTCTGCCTTCTCTGCCACATAACAGTATCCACACCTTCCTCTTTATGCAGTCCCCCTTCTTCAGAGGCATCTCCAGTCTTTCCCAAAGGTTGCAAAATTGCCCTTGCCTCTGAGCTTAGTTCTCTTGGTCTTAATTTCCCTTTAATTAAAGGAGGGTAACCAATACGGTCCCAAAAGCTAGCCAGAGAAATATACGGCAAAACCCCAAATCACTCCCAAGATTGTAAGTGGGCCCTGAGGCTGTTCTACACCACACCCTGAATGGAAGTGCTTTTTGATTCCACTTGTATAATAATGGGGTGATTATTGGGGCCCTAGGCAGGCTGCACAGAATAGGTGGCTAGGACCAGTAAGAACCATGGAACACAGGCAAAGCCACTTGCTCATTTCCCTTGGTAACCATGGCTTCTACACAGCATGCAGCCCCCACCGCAAAGTTCTGTACATTTCAAAGGGTAGGAAAGGATAAATCCAGGTCATTAAAGGGAAATAATCAAAGCTATTGAAAAGATAAAACAAATGAGACAC